ACAGCAGTAGAAGCACTGAAAGTTTTGGAAAGAACAAAGGTCAATATCTCGGTAGTAATGCTTGATTTAGAGAAAGCTTATGACCGAGTTAATTGGACATATGTTCTCACAACCCTGCGTCATGTACTATGATGAGTCAACCATTCACTTGTGGTATGTATGGGATTGATGGGAATCCCTTTGGGCTTGCACGGTAGAAGGAAACCTTGTATGAGACAAAGTTTGGGTACTCTTGGGGGGAATTCCGGAACACATGGATCCGAAAAAGGGCTACGGCTACATGGCCCAAGCAGCCAGAGCGGTGGGCTGTAATGTTATTTGGAAAGAGAGGAACCTACAGATTTTTGAGGATCGAGAAATTACCAATAAGGAAATCAGGGCCTTATTCAAATCCTCACTGAGGAGGATTATCCAGGCGGACTGGAGAAGAAAGCGTCAAGGATCCTGGTTTAGTGAAACTAGGGAGTTAGGCGGGAAACTGGTGAAATCAGAGGAAGGGAAACTGATCTTCGATAACTGGTTTTGGGAACGAGTTAGGACCACAAACTTAGTACTCAACCTTGTTGATCCACAGTAGGACGACAGTTGGATAGTGGAGAGGAGGGAGTACACACTGGCTCTGTGGTCCATTTCGGTCCACCCGTCGTATCAGACGGATGGTTTGGAGTAGTTAGATATAGGTAGGGTAGAAAGTTTTTCTCTATTTTTTATTTTTTCTTTATTTCTTTTGTTTTGTTAGGCTTTTTAGACCTGAGGCTTATTTTGTGTGGAGAGTGAGGTTTCAAGACAGCGGCATAGATTTGGTAAAATCCTGTTCCTATAGTATCCTCTGACTCTCACTTGTGATGTTGTATTCAGCGAGCAATTGCTCGTAAGCTAAACTGGTTGAGGCTGCCAGGATAATTCCGAGTTGAATTGTGAGGTCCCCAGCCTCAATTTGACCTTGGTAATAAATTGATTTCTTGTTAAAAAATAAATAAAATAAAAAATCCCTTGCCCAATCCCCTTGGCCTGAGACTTCCCAGGGCTCTGACAAATGGGCACACAAGTAATAGAGTCTCGCCACACCACTATAGAATTGCATTTTTTTTCGACAAGTGTCAGAAATTTTTCATAGTCCGGATTTCGATAGAACCCCCTCATTTCGCCAAACAACACTGTCGAATCCGTGGCGTATCGAATGTTTTCCATTCCAAGTCCACTTTCGATAGTGCTGTGTAGCGACGACCCCTCTCCTGATGAATTGTTTGCCCAATTGCATCTGGCGGGTTTCAAGACCACGAACGTTGCTGCCCTCTGGAAATTCGCTAGGCTACTATCCAAAAGAAAAAAATAAAAACTGACGCTCGTCAATGTGCAGGTTGTGGCGGTTAGCACGTGCCTGGGCGGTTTTTCGATGGTGCGGAAAGGAGGCTATCGAAAAAAGGCTATTGCAGGTGGACGTTCGCAGTTGGTTCGATAGGGCTATCAAATTCCCTTTTCTGATACCTATCGAAGAATTTTGAATCCTCATTTTTCGATAGGATGTGTGGAGATGCAAGACTATTGAAAAAACGTAAAGGGGGCGCAACCATTACGGCGGCAGATCGACAATTGCACAGATAATGGAAAAAAAAAGACTAAAAACAAGATAAAGCTTCAACTCCATTGGCCCCCGCTACAGACAAAATGAAACCAGCATGCATCCGGTCGCAACTTCGTCTACCGTCGACTAACTAACCTCTACTAAAATACTAAAAACGAACAGCATCCGTTGATGCACCTACTAGGATGAACGAACATATAACAACCAAACTTTCCTATACGAGATACCTCGCTACGACCTCTAGCTGCCCGCACTTAGATGTAAGACCACACCACTGTCTCCCACGACTCCTGCCCCGTTGCCTCCGGTTCGTGACCGCAACCTTGTTTATGTGCATAGCGACGCCACATATACCCACTTATGCGCCCGACGCCATTCCCTATATGAAAACCCTGGAAAAAAAATAAATAAAAAAATCTGAAAAAAAAAAGTATGTTATGCAGAAAAGTAAACTGCACAACTTTTGCATCAGGGTCACATAGAATGTTTTTACCAAATATAAAATAAAAAATAAAGTGGTTAGAATTTAGTACATGAGAGGACAATAAAAATGGGTCATTTATGCATACTGCAAAAATAAAATTGATAATATTGTTGGTTTTATTTTTGCAGTAGGCGAAAATGCAACCAATAGTCTTTTCTCATGTCTGCTCCCTCATTCCCGTTGTTTTTCTCATTTAACTTTACCTCCCCACCAACGAGGATGTCACCGGATATTGCATAGATTCCGAAGTTGTGAGGCAAGAAACGCCAACAAGTCTGATTAGGATGCGTGGTGAAGGAGGAAGGGGTGAATGTGGGGAAAGTGGAAAGACAATGAAAATGGGTTGTTTACACATACTGCAAAAATAAGACCGATAATATTATCGGTTTTGTTTTTGCGGTAGGCGAAAACGTAATCGATAACCCGCCTTCGCGTCTCCTCCCTCATTCTCTCTGCTCTCCCAAAAATAAGATCTTATTTATATTATAAATTAGAGATCATATATATACTATAAATATTATATTAATAAGGCAATCTCGAGATTGCCTAGATGAGGTATTTATGGAACTACAGTGTTTATCAAAATTTCATGTTGATTTTTCTTCTCTAATATTATTTGGAGGTACGGTTATGAAGTCAAAATACATCTCTTACGAGGAGTTTCTTTCATGTGTCAAGGACTGGTAATGTTTTGCACGTTGAATCGAAGTAAACCACACACTCCACCGTTTGTACAGACCCCCCATCAATTCCTTTGAGTTTCAGCCTTGCGACCGTACTCCCTTAGCTTCGCCCTTCACTAGCCATTTTGTGTTTTTCTAATTTCGTACTTTGCGCAATGCTTCACGAGGCCCAGTAGAAGAGGGCAATTTATAGATAGCATCCACAATCATTTCAATGACTTGGCTAATGATGTATCTTCCTTCCAAACTCGGAGCTGACTAATGTTGAGTTTTTATAAGTTGAATGATTTTTATATTTCTCATAACTCAAGTATGAATTGTCTAATTAGCGATTTATATTTATTATCCTAATTATCAAATTGAGTATTTTATTTTATTAATTTAATTATAATTTTGGTTATTTATTATTATTTGTCATATAAATTATATCAAATATTTGTCATATACAATGATAAAATATGTAATATAATTACTCTTAAATTAAATAATCACTTTGCACAAGTTAACCATTTTTTTTTTTTCCGGATAAAACAGTCAATAAAGAAACTTATGAGATATTTGATTCTCCTTCGTTTTTATCAAATTATCTTGAATTTTATTGACTTCAGACATGTAAAAATACCGAAAAGGAGTTTCACCTCTTGGTCAATCATATCTCCTGCTTTCCAACCTAATATCACTCTCGGTTAACTTCGCTTATGATTCACCACCAGGACCCACCTGATATTCCCTCACTCTCTCTTTCCTTACCCTTCAACGAATTGGGTTTTCCCCTTTTCGTCCTTCCCATCGATACCCTGCATTCCACCTTTCCCTCTTGAATAAGATTTTACCACCCGAGGAAGGCATGATAGTGAGAGGATAATAGATAAGAGGAAATTACCTTAGTGCCCCCCCCCACTGATGTAGTTACGATTGGTTTACAGGGACTAAACCTACATCGTGGGACAACAATGATCCTCGAGTACTGAATCAACTAAAGTGCCCTCCGCTTAAAAATAATTTTGTTGCAAACCTATAGAACATGACTTTCATAATTCAAAAATAATTATTAATTTAAGTTTAAAAAACTTACAAACTATTTCAGTTGTACTAGGTAATATATACTAGGTTGTTTTTCCAAACACCTAGGCACCTAACTTCTGCTCGGGTACACGCTCGGGTGCCCTGCTGAGCATGACTCTCAGGCAGGGTTCTTAGCAGCCCCAACGCAAAAAAAAAAAAAAAAAAAAAAAAAAAAAAAAAAAAAAAGTTCACAAAATTTCAGAAAAACCAAATTTTGTCTAGAATTGCAATACAAAAAACTTTTGGCTGAGGGTCACATAAAAATTCCCTACAAAATCGGAGATAAAAAATAACATAACAAAATCATACTAAGCCCCCCCCCATAGCCCCTTTAAAATAAATATATGCCGCCCTTTCCCCCCATGACAGCCAACTCTCGAAAATTAAAAAGAGCCTGGATTTAGGGTCCTTTGGGAGAGCGCAGAAAGGCAAAAAAAAAAAAATAATTTTTTATTTTTTATTTTTTTCACGCTCAGGTGCTTGATCGGGCATGAAAATCTTCTTTGACTGCGTAGCCTAGTGATAGTCCAAACACGAGTAGTATAAGTTGATTGGTGACGATTGCTTTGACCTCTTGGGTAGGCCAAATATCTCCGGTCCGACGGAGGGTTTTTGCGGACAGACGGAGGACTTAGGTGCGATGGAATGTTGGCTGGACACGACGCTAGTCTTTATCAATCGTTTTCTTGACTAATTGTGTCGTGTACATCTCTCAAGTGTGCATGTTTCCATATCCATTGATATTGCGCGTGTGGACTTACCTGGAGACAAACTGACCGGGTTAGAGTGAGCACGTAAAGTCATGACTAAGATAATGTTTTGTTTGACTCACCAAACATCTGCGCGTCGATGCTGCCGACAGGCGAAGTGCAGTTTTGTTCTGGAGCTGGTGTTGTCCACATACGTTGGACTTTTCAAACGGTAGTTGACTGTCCTTGACGTCAACATGTCCTCACAAGACCTGAACGATCGGGGAGAGCGGGAGCGAGGTCGTGGCAATTGGGCTCGTGAGCGACTGGAATGAGAACATGCAAACGATGGAGGTGAAAGGAGGCCGTACCGACTTCCCACGTGTTTTGCATGCCACAAGGTTGGGCACTACGCCAACCATTGCCCAAACCGCAGTTAGAGATACTCGAGTGTCAGACCTTGAACGTCAACGGATTCGAGACGCTCGTGCTCGCCTGGAAGACATGAAACTGTTAGACGCGAACTTGTGCCGCGTGTGGACCCAGAAGTTCGAAGTACAATTGTGAAACTAGGGAAAAGTGTTGCTGCTATGGAAGAGTATTATGCAACGGAACGTGAGAAGAGAGAGTCGAAGTTGAAACGGAAGATGGAAAAGGAGGAGGCACAACGGCGTGCAAAGGAGGAAGCGGCGCGCACGGAAGAGGAGCGAATTAAGGCTGAGAAGAAGGCATGGAAGCGTAAGCAGAAGTTGGTGGCCGAGGAACAGAAGCGAGCGGAGATGCAAAAAGACTTGCAGGTCCAGTTAGCCATACACGTGGGAGACATGGAGGACCGTCTTGTCCAGCGCTTGAACCAAGTCGTTTCGACTGCTTCTGCTACATGCCGCGATCGTGGGAAGAAGTTGACCTACTTATCTGATGATAATGCGTATTCATCTAGCGCGGGCAGCGGCAGTGACACCAGTGTTACGCAGGAGTTGAGTGCTCGGGCGGAGCAATTGACGATCTCCGAGAAGAGGAAGCGGGGCCCTGAACCGGTCTTTCAAAACCCAAGTCCGCCGATGGAGCAACCAGCGAAGCGCATGCCTAAGCATGGGATACTGAAGCCAGTAAAGTTGTCCGGGCGATTGACCCGATCGAAATCAAGAAAAGGAGGGGGCGACCTTACTCCCACATCGAACAAGAAGAAGGTGGCTACGCCACTATCGAAGGCTCGTACTCGGACTCGCAAGCCGGTACCGGGTTTGACGCTGCAGTCAAAAGCTACGCTCGAACGCCTGCGTCACGGTTATCGTGAAGACGTGTTGCGTGAGCTCAAGGACCTTGATGCGACTGAGCTGCAACACATTTGCCGGGAGGAGGGAATCCATTATGATAAGAAGATCGACCCGATCTTCGACATCGCAGATCACAGAACCGAGCGGGCATTTTTTATTGCTCCGGTTAATGTTGAACGGATTGCAGTCTCCGATGATACTGCCGCGGAGCCAGTTGTGACCCCCACGAAGGAGGTGTGAAGTGCCCTTTCCATACCACAGTTATGGAAGGTCTGCCGATTCTTAACCCACCTTCATTGCGATTTCGCCGGGGTGGATAGGTGTGTGGAGAAGCTTCTCCGTCTTGTTTTTGTGTTACTCGCTGTGCAGGGCCAGGTACGCTGGGCTAATAAGTGTGTTGCTAATTGGGTATATCTGTACGATCGTCACGGATTGGACTTCTTGGATCTCACTGATTGTGTGTATGTAGGGATCTCACCATTCTGTAAATCTAGTTACATTGGGACGTCCACTCGTGACGTCGACACTAGTTGGCGTGAGCACCTCTATTGCTGTCGTAACCGTAAACAATCGCACTTCCACCGATGGCTTGCGAACTTTGGGATTGAGAACTACTTGCTCTTACCGGTTGATGTCCTCATTAGATCGGATCTAGGGAAGCTTGAGAATGCATATATCAGGCTCTGGTCCCCATTTTTGAATACTAGCGCCTGTACTAAACGACGTAATTATGGAAAAAAGAGCAAGACAGACAAGCGTGAACGTGCAAGACGGGCGGGTGACCCTAATCCTAATCCTACGTGGAAACCTATTCGTTTCCGAATTTTGACAGTCGTTGATTGGAGAGTTGATTTCTACGACTTTTTCGATAATATCTTGAATTCCGGTAATCATGGGGAGAAATTTTGCACCCAGCAAGGTAACCTTTGGCAACCGAGCTAGAGCAAGTTGGTTAAGGCATTTGGCAATACAAAAATTGTGCATACTTCTAGAACCTTCGCTTTGAGGGATTGTAAATTTCTATTGCAATCGGGGGGCCATTTCATGGTCTCTCATGTTTGCAAATGGTCGGCACGGTACGGTTTCTTGAAAAAGATTTTGTCGCGTATTCTTCATAACCCTCGAAATATTTCTGTTATTCGAAACTGGGGCATAAGTTCTTGCTTATGAATCTATCGGGCTATCAAAGATTTTTCGAGGAAATCTACTCGCAAGTACTTCCGTACACTTATTAGCCGCTTCTTTCGTGAGAAGTTTGATCTAAGTCTTTGTGCTGAGTTAATTTTTCGTTTACGTTTTGATGATCGTTTGATCATTTCTTAGGTTCGGAAGGTGGTTAACGATGCGATCATGCAATTGGACTTACCCTTGTGCTTCCTGTATCGAGTTAGGAGGAAAGTTCGGATAGTGGCAACTAAGAACCCCACTATTGCCGATTTATTGCACAACATGCGTAGTCTTTCGACACGCACTGTGCTGACTTGCACTTGCGCAGGTCTGGACCTCCCACGCTCGTCTAATCATGTGTTGTTTCGTCTTAGCGATCTGGAAGGGATACATCCGCTTATGAAAAATGCTAAGAATGTGCCTTGTGCACGGGTCGCTGATCGATTGCCTTCCTTTCGCGAGGGGAATTGAGAGCTGGCATTGCTAGTTGGAGCAAATGCAAACAGGCTCCCCCGGATTTTTGTAGTGATGCTCTGCGTAAGTGTTTTACCCTTTCGGAAGTGAATAAGCGATGCCTGTCCACTCATGATGTGCTGGAGATTAAGCAGAGGTTCGATGGTTTGGTTTTCACCGGGGTTGATCGTAACCCAGGTGAAACTATGGTGATGTGTCCCTTGATGTACTATAATGCAATGATGGATAACTTTGTGCTGAATCCGGGGTATCGAATCATTGATTGCCCCGAGAGCCTCGTGCTCAGGGAGATTCGGGAAGATGTTTCCCAAGCTGGTTTGAAAACCTTCTCATGGTGGGACAAGAATGGTAAGTTTGGTTCGGCGTATCTTCTCCCCAAACAGAAGGACCTAGGGCGTTGTCGGGCGCATCGGCCCGGCACCGCACGTGGCAGCGCGGGACCCTCTCGGCCGCGTCACGCAGGAGTTGGACCAACCTCGTCACGAACACACAAGCGCAGCCCGTCGTCGGTCGACTAGGACGGATCCCACACACCATGCGCACACCACTCTAACAACCACAAGACGACAACACACACACATATACCCGAAACGACACAAACAACGCGACAACGCTCCTAGCCCCTCGGTAACCAACCCATAACTTTCCAATGCGGAAGTCGAACAAGCGTCGCGTGCGAGACTTAGTATAAAACCGCGCGGACGCAGGGCTAACTCATATCAACTCGCAATGCAAGCGTACGCAAGCAGTTGCAATGATGATGTACTATGTAGTACCCATACTCGCACGACCCTCGTTAATCTCGAGGGTCGAGTTCGACACTCAAGTGTCGGTTGACACGCGCCTTGAGAGTTAACCTCTCGATGCTGGACAACCGCCATGCGCGGTTGAAGATCACACACCCTCTTCTGCACTCTGTGCAGAGTGGGTGGTACAAAGGTCCATACCTGTGGTGGCAGTCGTCTCTTGCGGCCCTGGGGATGAGTCCTACTCCAAGTCTGGGCGGAAGTCAAGGGGTTTGACTTTGACGGCTGCCACGGACTACAACGTCCAACTATAAAAATTAACAAGCAAAATCATCTAATAAATAAATAAACATCCCACCACTTGTATATCAAATCAGATATCGAGATAACAACCAAAGAAGGGAAAACATTGACCCATCAGGTATGCAGATCGTGCGACACATGGTTGTCATTCTCACTGCGTCCAAAGTATGACTCATATACCAAGCTCCAAAATACTGACCTGTATGAAACACAAACACACACAATAGCCACATTGTCATACACCAATGTGGTCAACTTTACCGTTCCCTGTAGCTCACACCGTGCCTTACACTTTCAAGCCCCAGCCATAGTCAAAATCTTCATAAATCTCGCAAGTTCTTTATAACGGCCATTAAAAGAAATCCGGTTAAAACCTTCAAAGAAACACATCAAGCCTCATGGCTAAGGCAATTGAGTTGGGGTACAGGGATGGGCAGAGTTGTGTCGTGAGCCGACGAATCGCCGATCAACCAACCGACCTGTTATCAGTGATAACAGAAAATGATCCTCGTAGGATCAAGCTGAAACTAGTCTAAATCCTGAGTCAAACGATCAAAAGGGCCTTTAACACAAGACAGGTCAACGTCCCAGGCTAAAACCATAAGCTCCTGGAGAATAATCCTCACACCACAATTTTCTCTCAAAGTCTCTCCTAATAGCTAAGCCTAAGTCTACCTCTAAGCCGGTGCCCAAAGAAAGGTAGACTCATGGCACAATCTTCCCTATCCAGGGTGGATTACCAGAATCGCCACCTGTCAAAATATAATCTAACTCCTTTAAACTAAGAAAATTTCGGCAGCGCTTCCCGTAGAAAAGTGTCTTCCTAGAATTTATATAAGCTCAAATATGAAAGCAGAAGTAATCTCTAACTCAAGAAAGTCAATTTTTTGTCTAACTCCCTGAATTAGTAAAAATTTGGGCAGCACTCCCTTTAGAAAATGAGACTTCCCAGATTTATACTATCTCAGATTTGAACTAAGAATAACTCGAGTTTCTGTCAAGACAAAATTTAACAACTCCTTAGATTTGTAGAAATTTCGGCAGCACTCCCTTCGGAGAAATGCTAGTCCAAAATTTATACAAAGCTAAGTTCAGAACTTGAAACTAACTTTGACTTCTCAAAGTCCAATTTTGTCTAACTTTCCGAATTAGTAAAAATTTGGGCAACACTCCCTTTAGAAAATGAGAACTCCCTGATTTATACTATCTCAGATATAAAGAGAGGATAAGTTGAATTTTGACAAGTCAAAAGTTGACTAACTCCTTGGATTTGTAAAAATTTCGTCAGGGCTTCCCATAGAGAAAGTAGCTTGCCAAAATTTATACAAAGCCAAGTATAAAAAATGATCCCAGAAAATGCAGAAATTGACCTAAGTAAAGAAAACTATCACAGAAAATGCAGGAATTGACCTAAGTAAAGAAAACTATCACAAAAAATGCAGGAATTGAAGCTAACTCCTATCGCTCTAGCATGTGGCGAGCATCTAAAGCAACTGCCTGCCAACCTGAAACTCAGATCAGGTGGTCATCTCACTCAGCCACATGCAGGCCAAACCACAAAGGTAAGTACTCTCACCAGCCCCAAGTCAATCTGGACAAACAATAGTTCATAGTCTTTCATGATTTAGCCCTTTATACCCAGCTTACATAAGGCATAAAGTCAGACCACCCAAACTTATGGAATGTGTCTAACTTAGTCAAAGAGTATACACAAAACAGAGGGCACAACTACTTCTCTCTTCTTTGGGCATATGACTAGACCTTTCTAGTCGCCCTGAACTGTTTAAAATATCCAAGTTATATATACTTGTCTTCCCCTTTGTCTTCTACGGCTGCATGTGACTGAACTAACTTAAGTTCAGTCTGTCCCAGTTTATCACCAATTTTATTCTTAGTTATACTCTCTTCAAGTTGTGATACGGCTATAGTCAGACCACCTAAACTTATAGAACAGTCTGATTAACTCGTTGTTAGATAGAATAGTAGTAAAGTATAGCCAAGTTATAACCATTGGGTTCCAGCATGTGCGAGGCTTTGAGCCAGACCCTCTGAACTTACAGAAGGATCTAACTCTCTGCCAATTTCATTTCTCTCTGAATCGCCATGTATGTGGCATCGAGTCAAATCCCCTGAACTTACAGAAGGGTTTGCCCTTTGCCAAGATTATTTCTTCAGAATAAAAAGCAGGAAGAGAGTGAGCCACCTGAACTTACAGAACAACTCGGCCCCCTCGTTCAGAAACAAAGAAACTTAAGAAAACCCAAGAAGTAAGGCAACTCAGGGTACCTAAACTTATAGAGCGCCCTAAGCTCCTGAAAATCGAACACAGTCAAACCCTCACAGGTCAGAGCAGTCAGGCCACATAAACTTATAGAACAGCCTGACCCTCCATGCAAACTCACAGCACCGGGTCTCCCAAAACTTATGGGGACCTCCCAGCCTCCAGAGCAATCAGACCCCCTAAACTTATAGAAGGGTCTGACGCTCCACACAATCCAAAATAAACAAAGTACTGGGTCTCCCCAAGTTTATGGGGACCTCCCAGCCTTAATGACCCAGTCAAACTTCACGC